GTTTAAGAAGCTTCATTTAAAATTAAATTAAAATTCAGAGCCCCCCCCCCCCGGAGCGGTGGCCAGGATCCGGGCAGTGTGAGTGCCACTGAAAATCAGCTCGTGTGCCGCAGGCTGCCTACCCCTGAATTAACCTTTCAAATGTGAACCAAGTGTAACTACACAACCATGAGATTCCCCAGACACTTTTTTTTTTAAATGAAAGCTTATTTCTTGAATAGCTGACTCTGCCATGTTTGTCCCAGCAACAGGTAGAGCAGCCTATGCCTTTGAAATCACTGTTTTGGTTAATTTCAGTTGCTCCTAAAGTGTCTAAATAAAATAATCACTTTGGGTGATTCTCTTGTGATTTGTAGAGGAAACCAGTTGTGGAGCTATAATTAACCCAGGGGGACTGGATAGGGTACTGCAGCAGAGGGGCTCGGTACCAGGAGTGGGTGTCTGCTCACACACACAAGGACAGCACACCCATTTGAGCTGCTTGTATTAACATAAATGTCTTGTAGCCTGGGGTTGTGCCTGCCTCCCAGTTTCTCCCATGGTTGAAGTGGTGCTTTCAGGGGGTGTTGGAATTCCCTCATTTCCAGAGTTCCCCACAGCACAACAGGAGCCAGACTACCACCTCGTAATCAATAGTGCTGTGTACATCTCAAATAGAAAACAGCAGTAATTTCACTCAAAGCCCTAGATGAGGCCTGTTTTCAGCTGCTTACATCACAGATGGGAAAAATGCCATCAGTCCTATCTCTCTCTCAGCCTGCGGCTAGCAGATACATTCTAGTACTCTAGTCTGAGATTTTAGTGCCCCAGTTGACTATCTCCTACTTTTTCCAGTGGGAGACTGCATCTGAGGCTGATCCAGCTCAGAGCCCTGGTGTTCTTCCTGTTCCTTACATGACGTTTCTGTTTGCTCAATTTCCTCTCATTCTGCCTAGTTTTACACACCCTTGCACTTCCACAACCATTTCTTTCCCAGGGCAAGAGGCTTGTACTCTTCAAACACATGTAGACAGACTCTTCCATTCTTTGGATTTTTAACTCCCCAGGATCCACCAAACTCCCAATGAAGACTGAGCCATGGTAGAAAAGACATGGCTTGGGACCATTCCCACCCACTGCGTGCTCAGTCAAAGTTGAGATTCAGTGAAATTCACCCCCAAGTGGGATTAGAGGTGAGGCCATGAAACCAAGACAAGGCCACAAGGATTATTGCAAAAGTACTATATTATATACATATCACTCCAGCCACACTTCACAAGGCAAGGACCAGAATTTGCTATTTTACATTATTTCAATAAAAACGTGACTATAAAAGCGTAAAGCATTTCATGGGCCTAGGTTTCCCACTGCAGGAGATGTGTACAGGGAGTGAACCCTCCCAATGCGGGGGATTGCTGAGTGATGGGGAAGATGTCTATATGCCCTCCCCCCAATAAGTGGAATTGTGATCTTATGTTCCTTCCATGTCCCCTACCCCTCCAAGCCCCTGGTCACCCCAAAAAACAGGTCTAGCTCAGTAGGGACATGAATCCCCTATGCACAAGCATCAGAACACCTGTCATCATATGAGTAAACCAAGGGCCTCCAACACAAGGGGAGTGGAGTCTTTGAAATGCAGCACAGAAAGTGCAAAGGGTACATGGGTCTTGTTCTGTGCGGGAGGAGGGAGTAAGGAAGAATTAGAAAATGGGATCTGATTCTTAGTGCATATGGAGCTCCCAAGAGACCAACCAGCTCAGGTATGTCCTCCCCATGAAGAAGAGAGAGGAAGACAGAAGACCAAATATCCTGTCTAGAAACTCCATAGCCAGCATATCCCATTCAAGGGGCAGCAATTTGTATAGCAGATGAGGTTCAAGGCACAAGACCCACAGTCTGTATGAGGCACTAACATTCCCCAAATTTGACTGAGGAGCCAAGATTGCCAAACCCTGAGAATTCTTCAGGGGAGAGGACAGTTCAGAAATAGAAGCCTCACCTGCTTCCTGCTCTCTCGGGACTTGGTTCCCATCATCATCCACCAAACTTTTATGAAGAATGCTTCCTGGCAGACAGCCCAGTGCAGCCCAGCAGCAGCAGAGGAAGGCTCGAGAGCCATTTCAAGGGGATGAGATTGATCTGCTTTTGCCCAGGGTGGTTTTATTTATTCTCTGCTGCCTGTGGACTCTCCCTCTTCCCCCTCCCATGAATTTTCTGAACCACCCCAGCTAACTAAGTGTTTTGGTCTCCCTGCAAGAGACTTCAGTGCAACTGGAAGTTCTAGAGCAGAGAGGAGTCCATTTGATAGTTTAGCAAGAAATACTTTTCTAAATGTCTTTTACAAATTATTTACCGTCACTCTCCATGAATATTGACAGTAGCTGCACACTGCTCACCACCTCTGGAGCTAGTGAGTGCAGTCAGATCAGAGAGGGGCTACTCTTTGCTCAGTCCAGGTGAAGCGAGTTAACGGGAGGCGGTGCTCAATTCAGGTCCTAGGGCAAATCACAACATTTGACATTGATTGGCCATAACAGCCAAGAGGACAACTGCCTTTCTGCCCCCTTAGAGGGTGTTACTTCAGGGCCTGGTTTGCAGAGGGAGAAGCTTGCCCTCTGATCTGGGCTGTATCTGCTATATTGAAAGAGGCCTTTAGTCTCTGGGATTACCCACCTGACACCTTTCACCAGCACTAAACTCACGCAAAGGGTGAGAGGAGCCAACCACTGGGGAAGGTTGGACAGAGCATCCCACCCCCCTCCACTCCCAAAACCTCGCTCCCATCTGAGTTAGTGGCTTGAAGGAGAGAGCTGACCCCGCTACTGAACGTTAACCCCCCGTCCCCCCCAAAGACACCCCGTGACACTGACAGAGCGACCCTTTCCCGCTCCCAGGCGGTGGGTTGCACGCCCTCAAGTGGGGCGAGGGGGGGGACAAGCGGGGTGGTCACGTGACGCGGCGGTTACGCCAACGTTTTTTTTTCTACAACCAAAGTCCCGCTTTTCCTTTGGGCTTTTTTGTTGTGCTTCCACCTTGCCCCGCCCCCCCTAGCGTGACTGACGAACCCCGCCCCCCAGCGGTCTTCGAACCCCGCCCCCGCTTCTGTCTCGCAGCCAATGGCCTGCAAAGACGTTTTAAGAAGGTGAGCGGAGGCACCTGATTGGCCGGGCCATCCCGCTCCCTATTTTGTTTAAAAAAAAAGGCGGTGACTGTCGCTGATTGGCTCCGCGGGGCTGCTTTAAGAGCCTGGTCGCGCAGCGGCGCGCTAAGCAGAGGGGCTCGCGCCGTCTGGAGCTGCGCTGCTCCATCCTCCCCATCACTTCGTGTGCGAGCGGCCCGGCCACGCCTCTTTCCCCTCAGGTAGGCGCGGGCCCGCCCCGCCCGCCGGGGGAGTGCGGCCGTTGGCCGGGCGAGCGGAGCGCGAGGCGCTCCCTGGCCTGAGCTCCGGCTGTTGACCAGCCCGGCAGCCCCTTCCGGCCGCGCGCTGGTGAGCTGCGCCGGGGCTCCCGCGAGGGCGAGACCTCGCCGTGGGGCCGAGCCCGGCGCGGGGCTGCAGGGACGTGTCCCGGCTCTGCCGTGGGGACAGACGCCGGAGCCAGTCACCGGGGGCCGGACTTGGCTTCCCGCCGGGGGGGCGTGTCCGCTGGAGGGCGGGGCGCCGCTCTGTGCTGGGGGGGGGGGCTGGAGAAAGCTGGGCTGCGTTTGGGTGGGGGCCCGTGGCCTCTCTCAGGCTGTCTGAGGCTCCGGGGCTTGTAGCCCCGATCCCTCGGTCAGACTCGGAGGGAGCAGCCGCTGCTCTCCCTGCCCGGCCATAGCCCGGAAGGCTGGGCCGCCTCGTCCCTCCGTGTCCCCAGCCCGCCCTGCTGGGTGGCTCGGTCGGTGTGGGGAGCGGCGGTCTTGCTAAGAAATCCATGGAGCCCCCCCGGGCCACTTCACCGAGCTCCTGAGCAGAGGCTGTGAAATGGTCCCTGAATGAGCCAGTGCTATAAATGTCTGTGGGTCTGAGATCCGTGACCCACAGACCAAAGACTCCACGCCTTGGACTCTCTGGCCCCTACGTGGTCCTAACAGATTGTGAATCATTCCCAGGGATGGTGCTCAGCCTGCAATGAAACCGATCTTGTCCCTACAAACGCTATAGCCTTCAGGGGCAAAGGGTGTTTTACTGAAATCCACAGATAGTTGCTTGGCAGGCCGTTTGCTCAGGTAACGTCTGCAGGCCTATGAACGAGTCAGGGACTGTTTCTATAAGGGAACAAGCTTCGTTTTTAAGCTATAACAGGCTTGTTTGGAAGAGTCTGTTGGGGGTGGGGATGGTAGAGTGTAATCATGAAAAATTCATATTTGGATGCTTTGTGAATTGCAGCTGCAGAGTGGCATAAATAAACCCCCTTCCCCTGGCAGTCACACACATGGATGCAGACTAGAGCCGTTCAAGTCATCCTGACAGATATGACCGGACTTGTTCCTAGAGGGGACTATTTGAGTCACGGGAATCTGACCATTTTGTCTTGTCATAATCCTGGCACTGCAGTTGGGAAGACAGGCTGGCACCAGTGAGAAACATGGAGGGAGAAGCTAATTTTAGAGTGGCAAAGAGTGGGTGTCACATGTGATCCCAAGAAAACTTCAGCATTCTAAAGATTATCATGAAATAAACAGCTGGGCCTGTTTGCAAAAATGACACTGGCATCCAAAAGCCCCAACTGAGCCACTAAACTGGGATGAAAACCAGGATATGAGAGTAAAGGCCATTCCACCAGGTTGGAGGACAGGAGAATGGCCTGAGGGTTACTTGGGGGATCAGGTACATTTCAATAGTAAAAATAGTGGTTACAGCTTTTCAGTTCTTTAATAACAATGTTCATTATTGCCATGTCAATAGTTTATGCTAACCCTCTCCCTGAGCACTAGTGAAATTGACTATCAACCCTTCCAAATCCAAAGTTCCCTAGTATGGAGGAGAGCAGGCAGAGAGGCATGTTTGCTAAAGGGGACTCTGCTGTTGGCTCTTAACTTTTACTGCCAGAAAGGGAAGTGAAATCCCAGTGCATCCATAATTTCAGAGGCTTGATTTCTGAGAAGTGATGCAGCAAGTGGGCCTTTCATAGTGGGGCAGATGCAGAGACCTGGTTCTCCTAGGAAACAATTGAGTATTTGCTATGGCTCCGTTTGTTACTTTGGGGCGCTGAGAAGCACTGTAATCCTCTGTGTCTATTTACCCACACTGTAGCTGGGCGTGACCCTTTATAGGCCAGCAGAGAGGGAGTCTTTGCTCCAGGAGCCTCTAATTTACTCTCTAGCATCTTTGTTTAATAATCAGTACAGTGTGGTCAGAAGCAGCTTGGACAAGTAAAAATACCCCTGGACTAGGAGACAAGAAATCAGTTCTTCTCCTGGCACAGACACCTGCTCTCCAACAGACTTGGCCAAGTCACTTCACTCTCTGCCTCAGTTTCTCGCTGCATCATGGAGATGTACTTTCTTGATCCTAATTCCTACTTTTCTCTTTTGTATTTCTTGCAGATTGGACAGAGAATCTCTGTGGAGGCCTTTGCCCTGTAGGTTGCTACTGCTGTGGTTAGGGTTGCACACCTAAAGGTGAAGGTTGGTGGGTTTGAAAATCCAAGGAAATGTTAGTATGTTGGGCTTTAAGATTTTGACAAATTTTTACAAAAATCTTGTATTTGATAAGAGTAACAGAGCTGTGAAAAACAAGCTCATGAATCCAGTTCCTGCTGGTCTGTGAGTCCTGGGTTTGATCTGAGTCCTTGGGCACCTTTCACTGCCTTCTGGCCTGTTCCTCTTGCTGCTGGTAGTGGAAAGGGCTGGCCTCCCCTGCTTGGAGAAGCACCCCTTACAAAACAGTGCTACAAGATAGGAAGAGGTCTAGATTCGAGCTCCCCTTGCCCTTCAGATTGTGTAGAGGCCCATTCAGTCAATGGCTCTACCAGTAGAAATCCCATTGTTCCAGTAGGAAAGAGTCACTCAGTGTTGATGTCCCTTGATTACTCTCAACTTCTCAGTTTGTCCACTAACTGTCAAGGCTGTGCTACAAAATGGGTGTTCTAATGAGCTGAAGTTTTCAATCACAAAAGGGGGTTCACAAAACAATGGGATTCACAATGACTCAGACATCTCCCTAAACTTTCACATTAGGTATTGTTTTCACCCCTCAGCTCAGAGAGCATCCCCTCCCATCCATCACTGCTCCAGCTCCCATGGGACAGCCCTAGCTGATAACCTACTCCTTCCCTGAACCCTCTCTGGGTCAGCACCATGCATACTGTGGAGTTGTAGGCCCCAAGAACCAGCTTGCTGCAGAGAGGTCAGACATCACACAGCCTTAAAAAAGAGGGATAAAGGGAGGGGTCAGGCATTGATGCACTTGCATGATCCTTACATCCTGGAAAACACTACAGCCTGGGAAAGAGGCTTGCATAGGGACAGCACAGAAGTGTCATAACAGCCTAATATGGAGATACAGACATTCTTGCAGAGGGCTGCAGGGTGCCCTGCCTACATGGGGAGAGAAGGGATGTGTAACCCACCTGAAGCCTCAAGCATAGCAGCTCCTGCCAGAGCCAGGAAACTGATCTGGTCTAGGAATGTACATTCACCTTTCTCTTGTGCCCACACAGCGTGAGCCCTGACACTGAACAATGGGGAGACCCAGGAAAAACCCTGACAGCACAGCCTCACCTCGTCAGGCTGCAACTGTGCCCAAAGCCACCCCAGCAGCACCCCGTTCCTCTGCCTCCTCTACCCAGGCCAAGACAACACCCACAGCCAGCCGACCTACGAGCGCTCAGGCTGCTGGGAGTTCAGGCACCAGCAGGGCACAGACAGACAAGCCAACCAGCAGCACCACTGCCAGAAGAGCCGGGCAAAGCTCTTCCCAATCAAGGGCCACTGCAGCACATGGCAGTGATCAAGGAGACACCAAGATAAGCTACAGAGTGACAGCAAAGAACCCCACAGTAACTAGTGGAGGGAAACCTTGCTCCACAACACCTAAAGTACCTGCCGGTGCCGTGGGAGGGAGTCAATCCAGCCGCTCTCGGGCCAATACCACTGACCAGGGCAAAGCAAGCAAATTTCCCTCCCTGCTGACAAGAGAAGATGTGGTGAAAGTGGAGAGGGAAACCCGGGGCCAGAGGGACAATCCCAAGTGGGATGAGTGGCGGGAAAACCGCATCACAGCCTCAGTCGCACCTAGGATTGCTAACAGCAAGTTTGTCAATGGCAAGAGCTCAGAGGTGCCCCAGTCTTATCTCAAGGCTGTGGTGAGCTCTGGTTCCAAAATGCAGACACCAGCCATGTCCTGGGGCACCCGAAATGAGAAAAAGGCAGTGCAGGCATATGAGGAGCTCCAGTCCAGGAGGACAGGTAAGCCTGTGAAGGTGGAGGAGTGTGGCCTCTTCATTCACCCAGGGAAGGAGTGGCTCGCAGCCAGCCCAGATGGAATTGTCAGAGAAGCCGGTACAGGGAAGCTACTGGAAGTCAAGTGTCCCTATAAGCACAGAGACAAGACAGTGAAAGAGGCCTGTAAGGACACAGCCTTCTGCCTGGAAGCGGATGGTGAGTCCTACTCCTTGAAAAGAGACCATCCCTACTACACTCAGGTGCAGTGCCAGCTGGCAACAACGGGCTTCGACAGGGCTGACTTTGTGGTTCACACCAACAAAGATACAGTCATCGCCCCAGTGGACTTTGATGCAGGGTTCTGGGAGAGAACTGAGCCCAAGCTGGAGAAGTTCTACACGGAGGCTGTGATTCCCCACCTGGAGGAAAAGAGAGGCAACTCAGTTTGGGCTAAGGAAGAATAAAGTAATGGGGACATCTGGCTCCTACCCCACCAGGGACTTCTGTCTTCACCAGCTGCCATGATAGATTAATGGACTATCTCTGGTTCTGCCCTAGCAGAACTATGGGATCTAGAACATGATGCCTGCTAAGCCTAGACTCTTCCTTCTTATTTAGATTGTAAGCTCCATGGGGGCAAGGATAGTATCTGCCTTTGTCTCCTAGCAACATGGACAGCCAGCCAATGATTTAATAGTTCTGTCCTAGCTGCAGAACAAATACTCTTGGCATTTGGTGTTCTCTGCACACACATGGAAGCAGTAATGCCTCAACATCTGCCTTTAAATTTATGCCAGTGGCTGGGTGCTAGTGCAAATTGCCCTGTCTCTAGGGAAATGGGTTGTTGTACTCAGCCTGTGGAGGGGGTGGGGTTCCATTCAATGCGCTGGAGTGAAAGTCCTGGACTAAACTTGAATTTTAGTCCCCCAAGGGATCCTTGCTATTGTCAGTGGCAGGCTTGTTGAAGATAAAATGTAAGGTAGGGCCTCTAGGATAGTGGTTCTCAATTTTTTTGTACTGGTGATCCTCTTCATATAGCAAGCCTCTGTGTGACACCCCCTAAAGTAAAAACACTTGTGTATTCACCCCATTATAAATGCTGGAGGCAAAGTGGGGTTTGGAGTGGAGGCTGACAGCTTGTGAATGCCAAGTTTGAGAACCCCTGCTTTACAGGGTAACTAAACTTGTAGGTATGTGCCTTATTGTCAATGCAGCATCACACACAGCTGTTTCTTCCCATGCTATCTTATATTCACTCTCACCCTCTTTCCCTGAGTGAGGGTAACTGCTAATCATTTTAACAGGCTAACAGCTTGCATTTAAAATAGAGTTTGGCTTTAGCATCAATCTTTCCCCCAGGAGAATGTGGGGGAAGGGGCTTACATGTCCAGAGTTACTCTTTCAAGCTGCCTGCAAACTCAGCATTAGTTAATCATTCAATGGTGAACCAAGTAACACCACAACCAAGAGATTTCCTAGACTTTTTTAATGAAAGTTTCTCTAGTAGCAGACCATATCATATGCATAACAGCAGTATGGAGAGGTGCCTTGGTGTTTGAAATCACTGTTTTGTTCAAATCAATCCTGTTTTGGAAATTAAAATCTATCTAAACTAAACATTCATTTTTTAGGTGTATTTTTTGAGAGATTTTTAGAAGAGGCTAGAGCTTGAGCTCTAAGTAACCACAGAGGCCAGGCGAGGGCATGTGAGGGGTGTCTAGTCACACTAAGATAGGGCTGGTGTTTTGACATGCTTCCACAGATATGCTCAGCAGTGTGGTAGCAGGGGGTTGTGCCTGTCTCCCAGTTAAGGGATGCTTTCTCTTAGGTGAGGGAGATGCCCCATTTTCCTTTCTACAGCACCATGGGTGTCAGACCACTGCCATGTAATCGATAGTGCATTGCACTTTTCAAAGAGTTAAAGAAAAACAGCAAGCCTGTTTGCATCACAGATGAGGAAAGATGCCATCAGTCCTGGCTAGACTCTCTCACCCCACCTGACTAGCATATATGGTCTAATCCTAGATTTTAGTACCCTAGCTAATTCTCATCTTTTCAAGGGGGAGACTGTCCAAGCCTGACCCGTCTGAGAGCCCTGGTGTTCTACCTACTCCTTACCCTACATTTCTCTTTGCTCAGTGTCCCTGAGTTAACACCTCTTACTTCTCCAGAGCACCAGGCTTGTACTCTGTGTTGGATTTTTAATTCGCCAGCATCCACCAAATTCTCAAAGACGACTCCATGGTAGAAAGGACAGGGCTAGTGGCTCTTCGCACAGCCAAAGGAAATATTCACTGAAACTTACACAAGGGGAGTTACAGGTGAGGTCATGAAACAATAAGGCCACAAGGGTTATGGCAAAAGTACTTTATTATATACATCTTACTCCACCCACACTCCCAAGAATTTGCTATTTTACATAATTTCAATAAAAATTACTACAAACTATAAAAGTGTAAAGCATTTCAGGGGCCTAGACTTTCCCCCCGCCCCCCAGGAGAGGGGTACAAGGAGCAAACCCTCCCAGAGGGACAGGGACATTGCTGACTGATGATGTCTCAGGGCAGCCAAGTACACAAGTTTGGAAAAATAGGAATTGTGATCTTAGATTCCTTTCATTTCCCCCCACCCCAAGAGTCAGAACACCTCCAGCACAGGGGGAGCAGCATCTTTGAAATGCAACATAGAAGGTGCAGAAGGCACATGGGTCTGGTTCTTTGGTGGGTGGGGGGTAAAAGGAGAATTAGAAGATGGAATTTAATACTTAGTGCATGTAGAACCCCCAGCGACCAGCCAGCTCAGTCATGTCCTCCTTGAGGAGAGAGAGAGAAGACCAAGTATCCTGTCTAGAACTGTAAAGGTGTGCTCATAACAGGAACATCCAATCTAAGAGGCAGCAATTTGCATAGTGGATGAGGCTCAAGGCAAAAGACCCCATATGTCTGTATGAGACACTAACATTCCTCAAACTTCACCGAGGAGCCTAGACTGCTAACACTGGAGAATTCTTCAGGGGATTGGACAATCCAGACAAAAGCTTCACTTTCTTTCTGCTCTGTCAATTTTGTTCACATCCACCACACCTTCACCAAGGGTGCTTCCTGGGCGACAGCCCAGTGCACAACAGCAGGGAAAGTCCTGAGAGCCATCGCCTAGGGTCTGCTTGTGGACTCTCCCAAGTTTCCAAAGGTTCTCTCCCCCCCACCAACTGTTTTGGGCTCCTGCCCCAACTCCTTAAGTCCCCTCATACAAGAGACTACAGTGCAACTGGAAGTTTGGGAGCAGAGGACTCCATTTTACAGTTTAGCAAGAATTGTTTTATAATTTTCTAAACATCTGTTACAAATTATTTACAGTCACTCCATTAATATTTACAGTAACCACACACTGCCCCTCTCTTCCCAACCTCTGAAGCTAGTGAGTGCAGTCAGATCAAGAGGCTACTATTGCTTACTCCACATGCAGCAAGTTTGAAGGCAGGGGTGCTCAATTCAGGTCCTGGGGCAGATGTCCACATCACTATAATTGATGGGCTATGACAGCCCAGAGGACAACTTCCTTTTTCCCCCCCCAGAGAGTCACTCCAGAGCATGGTTTGTAGAGGGAGAAGCTTGTGCACTCAACAAACCAGATACAGCCCAGATTAAAGATGACATTAGTCTGGGGGAGAAGGGGGGCACTAGCCACCTGACAACTTTCACCAGCACTAAACTCACTCTTAGGAGGTTGTCACATGAAAGGAATTGGGCACCAGTGGGATAACAACCACCCTTGGGATAAGTCTAAGCAGCCCCCATACCAGAGGGTAACTACTTGGACAAGGCCCTCCTGGATTGCCTGGGGGAAAGGCACTGAGCCCCGTGTGTATTACAACAGGAAGGTTTCTGGCTGACCTACTGCACTGGATTCCATTGAGACACTTCTCCTGCTGGGCCCCACTGCACTGGCGAAACTGATGTCTCAGCTGCATAGTTTACATGATCCCCACAAGAGAAAGATTATTCCTCCTGGAGTGAGTCTCAACGTGCCAGCTTCCTGGAGCTGGAAGTACAGGGGGCATGCCCAGCACAAATGCTCCCACTTTCCAGTGCCACAGGCCTCCTATAGTCACTGTGCATCGATTGTCTAGCCAACTTGGGCTACAGTCTTAGAACAAAGGGCCCCCGCCCACAATCACCATCTCTCAGGGGGAGAGGATCAGTCACAGAAGCGTTTGCGGGGCACTGTCCTGGCTCGGTTTGAGCGACGGATCTCTTGTTTGGCGTCACGGCATCTCTGGCAGATGAAGACCTCAGGCACATTGGATTTGCGAATCTTGGCACAAGAGAGATGGATCCAGGTGGTGCATTCATTACACTCTATCATGGGTCTCCCTGCAAAGGGCTTCAGGCAGAAGCAGGTTATCAGGTCCCAAGCATCATCCTCTGGGCAGGGGAGAGACAGACCTCCATCAGAAAATGCCAGACAAGCCCAGTTTATAGCATAAGATTTTGCACACAGGAAGGCAGTATACATTGTCCCAGGAGCATGAAGGCCTAGAGGGATCAGCACCAACCCCCACAGACAATTAGTGATCAGCTCTGAAAGAAACCCAGGCCTGTCCTATGCTGGCCTGAATTCCCCTCTGTCTGATTCAATCCCCACCCATTTCAGGAAGAAGCCCAGCGGCAAAGCAAGACCCCCTGCTCCCCGTGCTGGAGAGGCTACCAGTACCACACATAATGGGGTCCCACTCACCTTCTGATTTGGTGTTGGGAGGTGCCACTGTGAATTCCACAGGTGAAGCTGCAAAAGGGAAAAAGAGCAATTAAAACCAGTCAAATGGTTAGTTTGAGTCTCCCAAGCTGAAGAATGAGTCTGGCTCTAGCACTGTTTTCATCAGGGGAAAGGAGGACTCTGACAGGCTGAGGCCCAACACCTTGACTCTATGCTTTGCAGTTCCCCTACTTCACCTCTTGTTGGTGAGGCTAGGACTCCAGTAGCTGTGGGCTCCCCACAAAGCCAGTGAACCTACAGGTCCTCCAGCTGAAAGACAGCAAGGTGCTGAGCATTGGAACATGATGCAGCTTTGCAGTGAGAACAAAGCATTGACATAACCACCTATCCAGACCAGGGACATCTGCCCCACTTTTCCTTCGGACCCCTCCACACTCCCCATACAAACTAGCTTGGAAGCTTACAATTGAGCTGGGAGCTGACACTGCTTGTACCCTCCTCCTCTTTGCTTTGATCCAAGGTATTCTGACAGCTGGAGCTCCTCCTCTCCTCAGGGCATGATTCCTGCTCCTTTGGTCGAAAGTAGCCTCCTACTGGCACTTCACTCCCTTGAACCCCACATGTCCAGTCCTTTTCTTCCTTCATGAACTCCTCCAACAGGGATTTGGGTCGGAGCTCACCAGCTGGGACAACCAAGGACTCAAGACATTTTCTCATTACATAAGGCGCCTGCTCCTCTAGTACAGCGGACTCTTTCCTTTGTTGTTGAACATCACTTAAATTCTTCGTGCCAGCCAGCGTCACCTTCTGTTCCATCTCTTGATCCAAGATGAGCTTCTTTGCAGACAGTTTCTTCTTCTTGGTTTGCTGGGGCCGGGCTGCATAGAAACTGCCGGGGAAGTCAGGGCAGTTCAGGAACAGGTTGCCCCCTTTGTACTTGGCATTTCTGATCCTCCCCTCATCTGGCAGTACTTGGGAATCAGAGGAATGGGATGAGGCCCAGCTGTCACTATCCTGAGTGCTGCCTGTGCTGTTCTGGGGACTCATGCTGCCTCCAAGTGTCCAGGGTTCATTCTGCAAGGACAAAAAAAAGCACATAGGATCTGCACAGGACTACACCACAGATGTGATGTTCTTGGAGTGATTGGGGGAGGGAAGGAGACATGAGCGGAGGAATGACACAGCAGGAAGTCCCCAAACCTCAATGCCAAGAAAGAAAGGAGAGGTGCCAGGTCTGTCTCCCAGGACATTGGCCCCTTCACACAACACTAAACAATGGCACAACGCACACACCAATCTGTTTTACCTCCTCGGGGTAGGGGATGTAGCCAGCATAGGCCAACACGAAGGTGCAGAACTGGTTGAAGTCCTCCACGGTTCTTTGTCTTTTTTGTGGTGGCTGCAAAAAATGACATTTTATTGATTAGAGTCTCTACCTCCAACCTCAGACTTGATGGCTAGAAAAAAAATTGACGAAACATTGCCAGCTTGGCCTTTTAACTACAGACAATGACTAAATCTTATGCTACAAGATATCATTGTGGGAGTCAGAAAGGACTGCGTGTGCAACACCAGCCACCAAGTAACTCCATTACACGTCTAGCACATGCATCCCTGGAATGCCTGTGCAACATTCCCCACAACCAACCCGCACACAGTCCCAGACTGCCTGAACACCACCACAGAAGCCTGCAGTGCCCAGCCCACCAAGATGACCCTCCTTTCTCCCAAACCAACCCACACATTCAGCATGCCTAGATGTGTCAAGTATCAGAGGGGTAGCCGTGTTAGTCTGAATCTGTAAAAAGCAACAGAGGGTCCTGTGGCACCTTTGAGACTAACAGAAGTATAGGGAGCATAAGCTTTCAGGGGTAAGAATCTCACTTCTTCAGATGCAAGTC